ATAATATTCTAAGATAATTAATAAATAATAAATAATAAAATAATAAACTAATAATAAATTCGTTCTATAACAATGCTATAAGTATTAAATTCTATTTTTGAGATTATAATATTTACAAGTGCATTACTTGCTTCATTAGGTAAATAAAATTTAATATTGAATTGTTTAAGATAGAACATATTTTAGGTGTTAATGTATTTGTTAATTCTATTATGTTTGTGCTAGTAATGCTAAAACTCAATAGTAGTGAAATAAAAAACTCCCACATGGCAATAGATAAGAATTTTACTATTTAAAATGTGAGTCCTTTCTGTAATTGCAATTATTCAATCCGTATTGTTCTTATGTTATTCTTGGTATCTAATTTCAAAAAATTCTTATGTAAATAGTTACAAAGGTCACCATTGTTAGCATATTGAAAAACCATATAGTATGTTTAGACTTTTGGATCTAATTGTACAAATTATTAATAATAGTTGATTAAGTAATGGTTAAGTGATGATTATATAAAATTAACATACCTCAAGAATGTTGATTTACTAATCCTCTTCTTCAGGCGTAAAAACAGATGTTATAGTATTCTCACTTGTTGTTGCATCTTCTATTAACTGTTTTCTTTTTGCCATATCATTAATCATACTAATGATTTGAATAGTTTTAAAAATCAAACTGTTTATAGCATTTAAATGTTCGTACAAATTTATGAAATTATCGGTCGATTCACAAAGATCATGCATTACGATCGGTAATTCGACTATTAAATATAATAATATTTTTCGAAATGGGCCACAGCTTCGATCCATAATATAAACTTTCATTTTCATATCTAGTTATAGAAAATAATTAATAATTGATATACAATATGCGATAAACAAAAATAATTACTATAAAAATGAACTAAAATGATTTTTAAGTCATTTAAAATTTTAATCATATAGGCTGCTATCAATAGAAATAAGGCATATTGATATTTTAAAAAAAATTAATACCTTAACTTTCACAGCTCATATCTTGATAGATTTGAAGCTATCTTAATTATTTAATAGTCAAAAGAAAGCTTATGATTTAAGCTTTCTTTTGAATACTAAATTATCAAGATAGTCTCAAAGTTCATCAAGATATGAGCTGTGAAAATTAAGGCATTAATTTTTTTTAAAATGTCAATCTGCCTTATTTCTATTGACGGCAGCCCATATGTTCGTTATCTTGAAATTTTTTTATAAAAAAATTAATGTGGTTTAGTGCATCATTTCTGAATTTTGCTAATCTTAAAAAATTATCTCAATATGATCTTCATTATTTACTGAAAAAGGACCATATGAAATTTCAGAAAAAAATATCACTTTTTACAAATAAAAACATGTCTGGGTAGTGGTTAGGGCCATCGCCTATAGTATCTCTAAATTTTGTTGATTGACAAGGAGTACCATCCCATCGGGTTTTAATATTTGTGTTTAGAAAATAAATTCAATAATGTTGTTAACAAAATTATGGAAATATATTTTTTCATTAATTGCTAATTCCCTATTTTTGTAAAAGTGTTTTTTTTCATATTTTTTTACTATAAATAAAATTATATTTATATACTAAAACAGTAATTTAAATACTAGCTTCTAAAAAATTATTACTTACACTGAATTCATAAAACAGAATAGCTCATAGTAGTAGCTTTCTTCTGATCTTATTACTTTTGGAAATATTACATCTTCATATATCACAAAATTATTAATAAAATTTTATTTATTCGACGTTAACTCGAATTTGGTCAATGTGTTTGATGCTATTTACATATCAATTGTTTTTTTCTAGAATACTATAAAGTTTGTTTTGATGGTTTTTAACGTTTCTTCAAATATAATATCACTTGAAAGAAGATCGTCTGGTTTTAAATTGACCTTCTAGATATTTTTTCAAATCACTTTTGCTATATCTGGCATATTAACATGTTTGGTATAAAACTATTATTAAAACATAATAAGATGTTATAAATTTGTTAAATTTAAATTTGAAAAAAATGTTACTACTTACTGAATATATTTTAATTTTTATTTTATATTGATTGAATTTCTATTTAAAATGTCAACATAATTGCTATAACCATCACTATCATCTCTATTATTATTGTCTTCATTCTTGTTATCATTATATATATCATCAACATCATTGTTATAATTATCACTATTTCCATCATTTACATCTTAAAAATATGTTATGTTTTTTTTTTCCACATATCTATTAATAATTTATTGATAATAAGTATATTGTTTTTTTGTATATAGATTTTTGATTACGTAATAAAAGTTTTTTAAAGAAAATATTTCTTCTAGTTTCTAGAAATAAATAAAATAAATATTTAACATAGTGATATAAAGAATACAATAATTATTACATATATTTTCAGTATTTCAGAACACAATCTATATTAATTTTCAGAGAATAATGTGAAAACCTCAATGAGGATTGCAAAAATGTCTTTTTATTATTTACTAGACAGTCAGAAACATTGTTAAATCATATAAATGTGAAAGCTTCAATGAGGGTTGCAAGTACCATATAAAGTAAAAGCCTCAATGAGGGTCACAAAAGCAATTTATTATATATTAGTTTAATCAGAAATATTGGCAAGTAATTATTAAATTGTTATAGATATAATGTGAAGGTCTTATCAAGAATCGCAAGTTGGATATCTTCATAGATTTGGATTTATGATTTTTGATTTAAATATAAAAAATAAACTTACTTCAAACTTCTGATTAAAAACAAATTGATAATGCATTCTTTGTTGTTTTCAAATATCAAATAAACTTGGATTGCTAAAAAAAATATAATATATATATAGACTAGAATAGTTAGACTTATTTTTGTTTATGTATGTCTCAAAAATATCTTGGAATTGACTCATTTTAAGAAAAGTTTAGGGTAGAAAAGTTTAGGTTCTTTATTTTGAAAAATTGAAGCTTTTAAAGTAATGAAAGTTTCATATAAACACAAAAAAAAACAAAAAACATCATGTTTTTATATAGTGCAAGAGAGCATACTTGACAACATTGTACTTTTTGTACTACAGAGAGTAATTAAAACATTTGAATTTGTTATGAAATTTTATCTCTTTAAGATATTCAGATTTATATAGAACCGATTTCAAATATATGTATAATAAATATATAACAAGCATTGAAAAAATAAAAGATTTTTTTTGTCATGAGAATTACTAGTCAAAGTAAAAAAATTGGGTATATATCTTATTTTAAACTAATATATACCCAATTGTTGTTAAATTATAAATTTTCTATAGCCCTGATTGATACAAATTTATGCAGCAACCCGATTTGTATATAATTAAAAAATAATTAGCCCCGATTTATATCGATTGTTGGTGCAATTCGGCATGTGATCAGGGATAGATAAGGGATACTTCATTCAAACCTAAATTAAAAAGTAGTTCGAGATCGGGTTCAGTTTAGAATTAGATCCTGACCCGAATTTATATACAGTACTCGAAGCTAGTGGATTTTAATAGTAGCAAAAATAGTACTAGTAATATCTTATAATATCGCTAGTGCTATTTTTGCCAGTATTGTATGTATGTATGTACATACGTACATACGTATCTAAAAAGTCTTAGTAGCGAGGATTACAGTACAAATATGGCAGTGGTATACAGGTCCAGAGGCAATCTCAGTTTGGTGATTAAATAACTTAGATTTTTTTAGCTTTGAATTTTTTTGACTTTAAATTTTTTTTATTTAAAAAATTTTTTAAGTTTATATTTTATTAAACTTTTTTATTTATTTATTTATTTTATTTCTCT